AAAAATACAAGCGTTAGACCCATCTCCGACAAAAACAACCAATCAGTCACTGCCGTCCTCTACTCACCGCAGACGCTGCAGAGTGCTATCCAGGGATGCAATTTGAAGCGACGTGACCGCGCCGCCACCGGGATCTGCCATCCCTTTCATCTTGTTGTGCTCTTGAACCGCCTCAAAGTCAATATCGACACCTGGGCCGTTGGGATTGTCCTTTGCCTCCTGTTTTTGAAACTAGATTGTCCAATCGTGGGGACAAAACAAACGTCAGTCTTACGGATCAAAAGCGTACATCCAATGTTCATCCTGAATCAAATTGAAACAAAACAAACGGCCACAGGAAAAAAAAAAAAAAAAACAAAGCAACAAACAGATCCACGCCTTACCTCAAGCACCTCAATCAGTCGTTGATCGTAGCTCTCGTCATAGATGTCCGGCTGCTCGTAAGTGAGCTTGTAGCCAGCATCCAGCAGACTCAGCAGAAAGGCGCGAGCACCCCAGTCATCGACGTTTTGGCCACTCGGAGTGGCGGCATCAATGTCGTCCGGTTGAATGGCAACAAACAGGACGCATGGCGGCCGAGTCGCCAGTGTCTGCAATAGTTGCAGACTCTTCCATACGCGATGCTCGTATCCATTGACGGAGATTTTGAGAATTGCCAGGTGATGGTTGTGCGTCAGTTCGTCTCCCAGAGGGACTGCCGGTACAGTGACGCATTCATTCTACGAATGGAATGGCACAAGAAAAAAAAGGCAAATCAAACAGAAAAAAAAGGCAACCATCAAATGTCAGCATCCGAACCAGGTTGCTCCAAAATATTCGCACAACAATCTCAACCTTTGCAGTGCTGTTCGAAACCAACGATTCTCGCACACATACCTCGTCATACTCCAGCACAGGTCTGACATTTTGCTTGTGGTGAGGATGGTGCTTGAAGCACACCGCGGGCCGGGGTTCATAGTCGACCGCGACGGGTCGAACCTGGATGAGCGAGCCAAATCCATCGTTGGCTCGGATGGAAGCGTTCAGCAAGGTCAGGTTGTCTTCGAAAGGCTCGTACGCATAGACTGGCAAGCCGAAGGAAGCGGCATGCAGCGAGAAAAACCCGATACCCGCGCCGACATCGACCATGATGGCGCGACCTCCGGACTGTCTCAGCGCCACTGCGGCTGCGGCCTTCAGAACGGTGCAAAACCGCGCCTGCCAGTGCCCATTCATGACAATGTGCTTTCCGAGCTGGTCGCGGAAGGACGAAAACACGTACATTTGGAACTGTGCGTGCTCGACCTCGATTTGAAAGAGGTGTGCATAGTGCTGGCCAACCACCTCGCTGCGAATGTGCTTTTCTCGGTTGTCGCTCACGAACTGAGCATCCCGGAATGCGTCTTCCATGGCCTTTGCCATGAGCTGCAGCGCTCGATCTCCTTGGCGGCCAAACAAGTCGACAGCGTCGAGCTTTACCGTGGCTTTCGGTGCGCCGCCATTCCGGCTGCCCGTGCCATCAGCATTGGTATCGAGCTGGCTGTCTTGAGGCCTGTCCTCTCCGCCATCGTGCCAGCGTGCGTCTTGATCGGTGAGAATGTGCAATTCCGAGTCGGCCTCCTCGTTCTTCAGTCCCGCTGCTCCACCGTCGTCGTGGTTGCGCATCGGTGCACCCGCAGTCTCATCTGCTCGACTGGTGTCGGTGGCTGGCCAGCGAGCGAGCAGGAACGCCCCGCCCAGCAGCAGCATAAAGAGTGCCGCCGCAATGACCGCCCAGCGCTGCCGCCCTCCTCCTCCTCCTCCTCCTCGTCGCCACCGTCCTCCTGCCAGCAGACTCGATGGTGCAGTGGTCGTCGGGCCGGGTCTTGCGGCACCAGCAGAGGTGCGCCATTGCAGCTGTCTTGATCCAGCTCCAGCGCCAAATGCAGAGCTCGTCCATGTCGAGCGGCTGCCCATGACTGCAGAACTGACTGGCACTTGGCACTTGGCTCTTGGACTGGAGCAGCAGCATTCGTGATTGTTATAGAATTGTACTGTACAGTAGCAATAAAGATGATCAGAGCAAATCTGAGATTCTGCTCCTTCAATCTCTCTTGCTGCTCCGCCTCCGTTTCACTTTCCAACATTTCCACCAACCTTCTCAATATACTCGTACATGATCTAGTATATCCTCCATTTGCTGATTTTTTTTCTCCGTTCTGGTTGTCAGTCACTCTTCGTTCATTCTCATTCAATTCTTCCAATCTCTCTCTCTCTTTCGGCTTTTCACTTCTCAGTTCCGCTCCATCTTCAGCAATCGAACAAAACCAAACCATGCTTGGTAACGCTGCGACTCGCATTGCCGCGCTCGCACCTGCGCTTGCATCGGGGCGTCGTCCGTCTCCTCACTCTGCTGCTGCTGCTGCTGCTGCTACTGCTCTGCTGCTGCACACAGCTTCCGCTTCCGCCTCCGCCGCCGCTCCTTCTGCTTCTGCTTCGTCCGTCCCTGCTCGCGTCATTCAAGTCCAGCAGCTGACTGCGGACTTTCGGGCCGCCGTTGCCATTGTCGAGCAGCCAATTCCGCTTCCGCTCAAGCCAAACCACGTCCTGATCCGCAACCGCTTCCTGGGCATCAACGCGTCCGACATTAACTTTACTGCGGGGCGTTACAACCCGACCGTCAAGCCCCCGTTCAGCGCGGGTTTCGAGGCGCTGGGCGTTGTCGAGCACGTCGGCGCGGACGTCTCACACCTCCGCGTCGGAGATGCCGTCGTGTACATGGCGGACGGATCGTTCTCGGAGGTCATCTCGCTGGCTGCTGCGCGGTCGTTCAAGGTCCCGTCGCTCGACCCGGCGTACCTGACCTGCCTCGTCAGCGGCCTCACAGCGTCCATTGCGCTCGAGGAGTGCGGCGAGATCAAGAACGGCGAAAAGGTCCTCGTCACCGCCGCCGCGGGTGGCACGGGTCTCTGGGCTGTTCAGCTTGCTGCGCTCCAGGGCTGCAAGGTGTACGGCACGGCGTCGAGCACGGACAAGGTCGAGCTGCTCAACTCGCTCAACTGCCACGGCATCAACTACAAGACGCAGAATCTCAAGGACGTCCTCAAGGCCGAGGCGCCCACCGGCATTGACGTCGTGTACGAGTCGGTCGGCGGCTCCATGTTTGACACGGCTCTCGGCTCGCTTGCGCAGCGCGGTCGCCTCATTGTCATTGGCTACATTACTTCGTACGCCGACCCGAGCGCCGCTCCCAAGCCCACCCTCGACTCTGCGTCCATCTGCAGAATCCTCCTGGGCAAGTCCTGCTCCATTCGCGGCTTCTTCCTGATGCAATACACCGACAAGATCAAGGCGCACTTGGAAAAGCTCATCCAGCTCGTCGCCGACAAGAAGGTCAAGGGCTTTGTGGACTCGCGCAAATTCGTCGGTCTTGAGGCCGTTGCCGACGCTGTCGAGTACCTGCACACTGGCAAGAGTGCTGGTAAAGTGGTTGTGGAGCTCCCCGCGCAGTAAACTTTGGTTGAGGAGTTGGGGCGACTCTTCCAAGCTTTGCGTTTTGTGTTTCTTTTTGACATTGATCTCTTGTTTTTTTTTGTTTGTGTTTTCGTTTGATTCTGATTTTGTGTTTCGTGCTTCAACCACGTGTTTGTTTTATCATTGCAAATCCAGTTGTTTTCGGTGCACATTCAGAACTTTAATCGATAGAGCTACACGAAAAAAAAAAAAAATCAACAAAACAAAATAAACAGACCAAACAATCTCGACACAAAAAATGCAACAAATGAACTGTTTTACGCGCTCTCTTGGGCTCGAAGGTATTCGGCAACGCTGCCACTGCTGCGATCGAGCAGCGTTGACACGGCCGCATGGCGACGAACAATGCTTTGGTAGGCCAGCTCTTCTTCGGATGGCGAGGTTGTCAGCTCGTTAGCAGATGTGCGGGTATCTGGGTGATCAGTCGCAGGAGCGCGACCATAGCCTCCGCCGCCAGGCGACAAGATGGCGAGCTTGTCCTTGCGGTTGGCCAGCACGGTGCATCTCGCACCCAGGTTGATCAAACGGCTGTCTTGAAGGTGCTGCGCAGCAATCGACCCAACTGCCGGGGTAGGAGCCGCCCTGGAGGCATCCTTCTCGCGCGGAACAATCAACAGATTCATGCCGGACGCGCCCGCTTCCCCGCCAAACAGCCCGTACGGGCGCATGGTGCGGCGCTCGGACAGAATGCTCACCGTGAGCGGACGGGTAAACTCAATCAGCCGAATCACACCATCGCCGCCGGAAAACTGGCCGCGACCACCGGAAGCTTCTCGCAGCGAAAACTGCCGAAGAATCACGGGGTAGCGCCGCTCGAGGATTTCGGGATCGGTGATGCGCGTGTTGGTCATGTGCGTATGCACGCCTCCGCGACCGTGCCAGGTAGGGCCAGCTCCAGCGCCGCCAGCAATCGTCTCGTAGTAGCCCACCGTCTCGTCGCCGAACGTGAGATTGTTCATGCACCCCTGGGAGGCAGCGCAAGCGCCAAAGGCCTTCAAAACCACATCAACCACGCGCTGCGAGGTGAGCACGTTGCCTCCAACGACAGCAGCAGTGCGGCTAGGCGCGAGAATGGACCCGTCCGGAATGACAATGTTCACGGGATTGAGGCAGCCCTGGTTGAGCGGCACGTCGTGGCCCACAAGGCAGCGCAGACAGTAAATCACGGCCGAGTAGGTCACCGCACGAGGCGCGTTGCAGTTGCCATACACCTCCGGGCCCGTCGCCGCAAAGTCAAACGTGGCCGAGCCTGTGGTCTCATCAATGTCAATCTTGAGACAAATCGCCGTGCCGTCGTCCATGCTGTCGGAAGCGACTAGCGAGGTCGAGCCGCGATACAAGCGCGCCTTGCGAGCCACTTCTCGAAGCATCTCGCGCACTGCCACCTCGGCATTTTCGCGAATGTAGCCCATGTACGCCTGAACGACGTGCAGGCCGTAGTAGTCAATCAGCTCATTCACCAGGACAATGCCGCGTTGGTTGGCCGCGACTTGCGCCCTCAAATCCGACAGATTGTCCGAGAGGTTGCGCGTCCCCGAGCATCCGGGCAACTTGGCAGGCGAGTTCAAAATCTCCGTGATGCCAGCCTCTTGGAACTCGCCCTTCTCGACCAGTTTGAACGAAATGATGCTGGCGCCTTCTTCCAGCAGCGTCTTGGAGGTGGGTGGCATCGAGCCAGGCGTGATGCCGCCAATGTCGGCGTGGTGGCCTCGGCTCGCCACGAAAAAGACAGGCTTGGTGATGCCTGGCCGGAAGACGGGCGTGATGACTGTAATGTCGGGCAGGTGCGAGCCACCCGCCGCGGGGTGGTTGGACACGAGCACGTCGCCGGGGTGCAAGTTTGGCCCGAGATGTTCCACCTGGAAGCGCACGGCTTCCTGCATGGCGCCAAGATGCACAGGGATGTGGGGCGCATTGGCAACAAGGCCTCCATCTGGGCCAAACAGCGCGCAAGAAAAGTCCAGACGCTCCTTGATGTTGGTGGAGATTGACGTTCGCTGCAAGGCGCGGCCCATCTGCTCGGCAATGCTCATAAAGCGATGGCCGAAAATCGACAGCTGGATGGCATCCAGCGGCACGTCGACCGTCGCAGCGCCACCGTCTGTGGCAGACTGGCTGCCGCCTTGGTACTGGGTCGCGCTCTGGACGTGGACCACGACGTCGCCTTGGGGTGTGAGTTCCGCTCGACACTGCGGCTCGACCAAAATGGTGCTGTTCTTGTCCACGAGAATGGCCGGCCCGTGCACAACATGGCCAGGGCGCATGTGCTCGGTGCTGAAAACGCCAGTGTCCTCGCGCAGCCCATCCTCAAAGTAGCAAGCGGTGAACTTGGAGCGCGGGGGTTCCGAGCCTGGAGTCGAAGCAGGTTCGAGGGGAGACCGAGCAGCCGGGATGGTATGGCCAGAAGCTCGCACGCGAACGTCGTCGACAACGATGGTGCGCTCGCGCAGGACAAAGCCAAACTCGGTGCGGTAGCAATCGAGGAAGGCCCGCTCAAAGTCAGGCGCATCGAGCGACGATGCCGGCGCCATGATGGCGCAATCGGTGCGATCGTAGCGCATGTTGGCAAAGTACTCGAGCGAAATGCGGTCGTCTGCAAAGCCTTGCTGTCGCAGTTCTGCTTTGCACGCCTCGCCGAGCCGCGCAAGCCGGGCTTGGAGGTCGGGAAGCGACGCGGGACTGTAGATGGTGGCGCACGGCTCTTGTTTCTCGCACACAACGTCCGCCAGCGCCATGCCGTAAGCTGAGAGAATGCCAGAGTACTTGTGGATGAAGATTTTGCGCATGCCGAGCGAGCGGGCAATGGCACACGCGTGCTGGCCACCCGCGCCGCCAAAGCAGGACAAGGTGTGCGTTGTTGTGTCGTAGCCTTTCGACTGCGTAATGGCGCGAATGGGGCGGCACATTGCTTCGTTGGCCACACGAATAAAGCCCAGGGCAACGGCCTCGGCGGTCATGGGTGCAAAAGGTGGGGCGGTGCGGGACGCTTGCTCGTCTTGGCCGATGCGCTCCTCGTACTGCTGCTTCAGGAAGGCATTCACCTGGTCTGTCAGCGCAAGGAAGGACGCCCGTGTCGCATCGACATCCAGCGGCTCATTCTCGCTCGGGCCGAAAATGTGCGGGAAGAATTCCGGCATCAATCGTCCCAAAAACAGGTTGGCGTCTGTGATGGCCAGCGGTCCGCCTTTGCGGTAGCAGGTTGGCCCTAAAATAGCATGCAAGCAAGCAAGCGAGCAGGCGAAGAGTCAAGCGTGAGTGCTTGAAGTCCGACACAACAGGTTGCGTCGATGGAGAAAGAAACTAAAAAACACAACCGGTTCAGTCCTGTTTACCTGGATGCGCACCCACGGACTCGGGCCCAACAACAAACATGCCGGCGCGAAAAAAGAGGCGCGAACCACCGCCAGCAGCGACAGTGTTGATGTCGAGCTGAGGCGCTTGAATGGTCACGCCGGCAGTGGTCGATTCAAAGACGTGTTCATACGTGCCAGCATACCGAGAGACATCCGTGGACGTGCCACCCATGTCAAAGCCGATGGCAGGCGTTGTGGCGTCATAGTCAAAGGTTGTCTTGCCGTAGCCAACAACACCGCCAGCGGGCCCACTGAGAATGGCTCGCGACCCGGAGAAGGCATCCACGCGCGTGAGACCGCCGTCAGACTGCATAAACAGCACCGGCACCTTGCCTTGAGCCATCCGCTCGTCAAAGCCGCGAGAAAATCGATCGACATAGCGTTGAATGGCGGGAGTGAGGTAGGCATCTGCTACTGCAGTGAATCCCCGAGGCACAATTTTGACCATCGGCATGATGGCTGAGGAGAGAGACACGTTTGAAAAGCCCAGACGGCTGGCAACAGCGCCGACCTGGCGTTCGTGGTCGGGAAAGGTGTACGAGTGCATCAAGACGACGGCCACACTGCGAATTCCAGCATCAAACGCCTGCTTGAGATCGCGTTCGAGAGCCGCCATGTCGATGGGTTGCTCCACCATGACCGACTCTCCGGTAATGCCAATTTGGATGCTTGCGCTGCTGCCTGCATGCTCGGCGGATTCCTGCGCGACTTGTTCTGCGGTCAGGACGCGGACACGTTCGTCGACCTTTCAAATACAAAAAAAAAAAAGGCAGTCGAGCATCAGTGTTGGCACGAGGTTGTTACAAAGGGGAAAAACCGCCAGAGGAGCTGCAATACAACATGCAAAAACAACGCCTCAATGATGATGGTACCTCAATCACCCGCTCGTACAAGCGTTCCGGCATGGCAATCTGCAAATCAAAGATGCGAGGCCTCGATTGCGTTCCGATATGCAGCAAATCACTAACGCCATACAAGAGGGATTGTGAGAGTCTTTTGAGTGGGAACTTGTTTACCGCTCGTTCTCTTCTCTTCTCTCTCTCTCTCTCCCCCCCTCCCCCGCAATCCCGCAATCTGAGAATCGCAGTATGTTGTTACCGGAATCCTCGCGTGATGAGCAGCGCACATCGCTCGCCATTGCGTTCGAGCAGTGCGTTGGTGGCGACCGTCGTGCCCATGCGGATCCACTCGATGCGCGATGTATCGATCGGCTTCCCCGCCGGGTGGTCGACGCCCGTTTCCTGCAGAAACACAGACAGAGCAGTGAGCAGCGAGCAGATTTCAGCGAAACGTCATTCAATTTTCAAGATTTTTGTTTTCTTCGGTTCAGCCATTGGTTGTTCGCACTCGTCATCACTCGATTCACTCAAGCGTTCCATCAAGCGAACAGGGGTTGTCTGAAGCGAGCGACAGGGCGGTGGCCAGGAGGCAGAGGGGCAGGAGGCAGAGGTTGGCCATCCACTGCAAAATGTCGCCGTGCTTTCTTCCCCCTTTCGCTCTCGCTTTCTCCCGTGCGTCCGCTGCGTCGGGCTTCACCTGGGTGAGGATGCGTCGGATGCCCTCGGTGGGCGCGTCGGGATACGCAGGGTCGACGCTGAGCAGCTTGAGCACGCGGACGCGGTTGTCGGGCAGCTCGGCGTAAACGTCCGTGAACGACCCGCCGCGATCAATGGCAAAGCGGAACATTGGGGGTGGGGGTGGGGAGGGAAATGAAAGAGTGGGCAGTGAAATACAGCTTCGTTTGATATGATATGATGGAGAGTAAGGTGTGTGCTGGATTGTTTGAATGAAAGAAGGATGACAATGGATTGACTTTTGAATGCGCTCGACCACAGTGAATCGTCATGAAGGTCGAGCGCCAAGCACTTTTCAGGGTTTGAGGGGAAACTTCAATGCACTCGTTCAAGGAGAGAGTGCCGCTAGACATAGCCGACATACAGCCGCTCCAAAATCAAATCTTGGGGATACTGGGCGGGTTGAATGAACACTTTCCAACCCGCGCGGATTTGTCGGAGGTTGGGACACGCCACTGGCCAGAACGTCGTGAGTTCGATATTCGCATCGACGACAGTCGGTTGCTCCTTGTGCTTGAATCGAGCAACAACTTTCTCATCTGCAGCAATCAAGCCACAACAGCCGCGACCAGTGTTGCCGCCCAAGTGCATGTAACGAACCACTTGAACTGATTTCACACGGGTTGGAGTTCCATCGACGCTCTGAGGCACTTTGACCATGAGAACAGGGATACGAGCACCCTCTTCATATTTTAGTCGCAGGGTACGTTGCGCACCCTGCCAGTACTGCGCCTGATCCATAATGATCTCGGCCACCTCGGCTGGCAGTGCAGGCAGAGATTTCGATCCAACCTTTAGCTTCGGGCTGCTGGTCAGCAAGCGAAACACGGCCTGAACCTCGTCAGCAGTTGCCAATCGTGGAAACATGGAGAATACACGAGGGTTCATCTGGAGGTCGTTTCTGCGCAACAAACAGTCGAGATAGATGAGCACTTAAACTAGTTGGACAAAGCATGGAGAGGGCATTCAATGGCGAGCAAAACACATGAATACGCGACCTACTCAAACTCTGTCAGATTCCAACCTGCCACCTCGATCGCTCGAACTCCACGTATGTTGATGCAATTCGATTCGAGGCTGTTTTTGTTTGGTTTTTGTTCCCCAGAAGAAAAAAAAACATACGAGATGGTGAGCAGGATGACAAGCATTTGGCCTCCCTGCGTATCCCGAAGTGAACAAAGCGCACGACAACTTACTCCAGATACTTCAGCTTTTTGTTCACTCTGAGAGCTTTCGCTATCTCCTGCGCTCCAGTTTCGGTAATTTGGTTTGCTCTCAACCTACCCGTCCTTCATCCGTGAGTACTCTTCACACCTCACTCGCATCAGTCAAGGTGAGATGATGACTGACCCAAGCGAAGTCAGCGTGGTGTTCACTTTGAGCGCCAAAGCAATCTCCCGCGCTCCAGCACTTCCAATTTGATTGTCACACAGACTGTACCATGCCATCTCCGTCGGTGAGCGCACGGACTACCCTTTGCTGAAACCATCCACACACATCATCAGTCAAAGTGAAACGCCTTACTAGACTCCGGTCACCGTCGTGTTCACTTTGAGTGTCCCAGCAATCGACATTGCTCCGGCGTCACCAAGTTGGTTGTCGCGCAAACTGTTCGTGTTCCCCGCCCCCACCTCCAGTCGTGAGCACCTTGCTGTGATCGTCTACTCTTATCCAACAGTGAAAGTCAAATGCCCTACTCAAGTGTAGTCATCGTCGTGTTCACCTTGAATGCTTCAGCAATTGCCAGTGCTCCATCACCACCAAACCTATTTCCCGCCACACTGTCCATCGCCCTATCAGTGAGTGGACTCTAACAATGCCTCTTGCAAGAACAACCATTTGCAACACAGTTGGATGACATACTAGAGATTCTTCATCGTCTTGTTGACCTTGAGCATCTCGGCAATCGCCTGCGCTCCAAGAGGGCCAATCTGATTCCCTCCCAAGCTGCATCCGCCATTTCATGAGCCACTCTGCACGTCCTCAGCCAAAAAACCGCCAACTCGCTCGCGTGCATCGGTAGGCAGCTTACCCGAGCCAAGTCATCGCCGTGTTCGGCTTGAGTACCTCAGCAATCGCCTGCGCTCCAGCGTCGCCAATCCGATTACTACCCAGCCTGTTCGTCCTCGAGCAGTGAGCCACTCTGAATGCTCCTCTGAAATCACTCACTCACAAGCACAGATGCCCTACACGAGCTCACGCAACGTCGGATTGACCTTGAGTGCTTCAGCGATTGCCTGCGCTCCAGCGTCGCCAATCCGATTACTACCCAGCCTGTCCGTCCTCGAGCAGTGAGCCACTCTGAATGCTCCTCTGAAATCACTCACTCACAAGCACAGATGCCCTACACGAGCTCACGCAACGTCGGATTGACCTTGAGTGCTTCAGCGATTGCCTGCGCTCCAGCGTCGCCAATCCGATTACTACCCAGCCTGTCCGTCCTCGAGCAGTGAGCCACTCTGAATGCTCCTCTGAAATCACTCACTCACAAGCACAGATGCCTTACATGAGCTCACGCAACGTCGGATTGACCTTGAGTGCTTCAGCAATTGCCTGCGCTCCAGCATCGCCAATCCGATTCTCGCCCAGCCTGCTCATTCCCTCCTTCAGTTAGCCGCTATGAATGACGTCTCCTGAAATCATTTAAATGCATCAGTCAAGGTGAGATCCCTTACCGGAGCTGAGTCAGCCTCGTGTTCACTTTGAGTGCCTCAGCGATCACTCCCGCTTCGCCAATTGTATTCGAGGCCAAACTATCCGTTCCCAGCATCGGTGAGCCACTCTTACCATCCCACACGAATTTCCCGCTACCATACACTTTAGTCAAAGTGAGATGACTTACTTGAGCGTGTCAAGCGTTGTGTTCACTTTGAGACCCTCAGCGATCGCCTGCGCCCCAACATCTCCCATCTGATTATCCGACAGACTGTCCAAGTCCCCTCCATCAGTGAGCATTCTAAGCTCTGTTGAAATCACCAACGCAAATGCATCAGCAAATTTGAGATGCCTTACTCGAGATTAGTCAGCGTCTTGTTCACCTTGAGTGCTTCAGCAATCGCCTGCGTTCCAGCAGCGCCAATCCGATTCCAGTTCAGACTGCTCATCCCCCCCTGAATCAGTGTGCACTTTCGACACCCCTCTGCTCACGCACACGCACACGCATCAGTTCAAACAAGATGCCGTACTCGAGCGTCTCCAGCCCCGTGTTCACCTTGAGTGCCTCGGCGATTGCTTGCGCTCCAGCGTCGCCAATCTGATTGTCGTCCAGACTGGTCCATCGCCTCCATCAGTGAGCACTCCTTATCATCACCCGCAACCCTCTCTCTCTCTCTCTCTCTCTCTCTCTCTCTCTCTCCCACCCCGCCCCGCAACTCCCCAAGCGAGATGTCTTACGAGAGCCGAACCAGCGTCGTGTTCACTTTGAGTGCCTCAGCGATCGCGCCTGCTCCAGCGCAGCCAATCTGATTCTGACCCAGACTGTTCGTCCTCCCCTCCATCATTGAGCAGACCGCTCTGCTCACATGCAATCGATCAAATCGAAATGATGCCTGACCTGAGATCTGCCCGCTTCGTGTTCACTTGAAGTGCTTCGGCAAGCCCCAGTGTGTCGTGGTCGTCAATCTCGCGTGCTTCCAGACTGGGTTTCCGTCCCGTGCTCGTCAGTACATGTATACTGACACGCGCACCCTGCCAACGCTGGTTCCAATGCACTCGGCTGTTTGTTCTTACCAGAGCTCTTTACCCTCGTCCTCCTTGACTATGTCGTACAGCTCGCGCTGATAGACATCCATATTCTCATACAAAAGCATGGTTGAAAGTAGACTGTCAAGCCACGCGGTCCAGCAACCCAGTCTGTTCGACCGCTGAGCATTCATGTATTATTATAAACAGTTGGTTGATGAGCAAAAGTAGCGCAAAAGACAATGAACATGTACATAGTGAAACTTTGTGAGAAAGCAACAGACGAGTTGTTTGAGTTTCATAGAATCTAGGAGGCTATTGACTTTTGCGTCTAGAATTGGTCATTGCAACCATATGTGGCTGAATGCGAGTTGACTCTCGTTCTCTGAGAGTTACGCACTATTCGGGCCATCCTTTTGAATCTCAGTCGACAATTTTGCACCAAAATCCGAGCCAAATTTGAGCCCAAATTTGAGAATTCTACGAGGCGTACTGCACAAAAGCGAGATGGCGCAGGCAGATCAACGCCCGGCCCAGTCTCCATTGACACTCTATGTTGGCGCCGAGGCCGTCTATGCACCGGAACCGCTCGGAGCAGTGGACGTGCTGGTTGCCGGCGATCGGATTGCCGCCATTCTGGAGCGCGGCTCGCAGGCCACCGCGACTGCAACCGCGCTGGTGCAGCAACTAGGCTCATCGGGAAGCCTCGTTGACATATCTGGAGGAATCCTCGTTCCGGGCTTGGTCGACGTGCACGTTCACATTGCTGGCGGCGGAGGCGAGATGGGACCCGAGTCGCGCACACCGGAAGCCGCCCTGTCCGAGATTGTCTGCAATGGCGTCACGACGCTGGTAGGCCTCACGGGAACCGACTCGGTGACGCGATCGCTCGAGAATCTCCTGGCCAAAGGACGAGCATTGCAGCGCGGCGGATTGAATGTCGCGCTCTTCACCGGTGCATATCGAACGCCGCCTCCAACGCTCACGTCGAGCATCATGCAGGATATCATCACCATTGAGCAAATTATCGGGGTCGGCGAGATTGCCATTTCAGATCACCGCTCGTCCGTGCCGTCGTTTGACGAGTTGACGAGCATTGTGAGCGATGCCAGGTCAGTGTGCTGCGTTGTTTCAGGGTTTGCTTTTGTTTGTTAAAGTGTCATCTTGGCACGGGGCGACTTTTTGGGTTTGGAGCATCTTTCAAGCTGTATGGAGGCGGGTGGGGACGAGATATGCCTCAAAACTGCGCATTTGCAATGATTCACTCATGCCCGCATCACGTCCGCTTGCTGATACAGAGTTGCTGGCATGCTTGCCGGGAAGACTGGCCTGTCCCACTTTCACGTCGGTCAAGGCGCCGAAATGCTCGAGCCGTTGTGGAAGATTGTGCGCTCGACGGCAATTCCGATTCAAAACATTTACCCGACCCATGTGTCGAGTCGAGGGCCAGGGCTATTAGCGTAGGTGCTATATATTTTTTTGGTTTCGGTCAATTTATTGGTGAAAAAGAACAAAAAAAAACCACAGCGAGAGTGAAGCGCAGAGAAGAGTTGAGCTGGGTAACACAGAGTGTGTGATGGACCTCTCGCCCGACTCACCCATGCTCCTGTTTGTTCTTCCGTGCACTCAACCAACACATTGCACAATCCTCATCAGGGATGCCAAAAAGTGGGTCGAAGCTGGTGGGCATGTCGACATGACCGCCGACGCTGCAAGTGCGACTGCCACGCCCACGCTCGACGCCCTCTGCGAGTTCAAGGAGAGCGGATGCACCATGAGCCGCATCACTGTCAGCTCGGATGGTTATGGCTCCTTCCCTATGTTTGACGCCAAAGGAAGCCTGGTCAAGTATGGCGTTGGCAAGCAGGATGCATTGCTCGCCACTGTGCGCCGTCTCGTCAAGGAACGAGGCTGGTCACTCGAAGCAGCATTGCCCCTGATTACTTCTCATCCAGGAGACTACGTGTTTGCCGGAGCCCGGGGGCGGCTTTGCAAGTCTGGTGCCGCTGATTTCATCGTGCTCAACCCGGAACTCTCTGAGGTCCGCTATGTGGTAGCACGAGGTGTGCTGCTCAAGACACCGACCTGGGTGAGCAAGGGGATGTTTGAGAGTTGATGCAGCAACTGCACCAGAGAGCGAAAGAGGTTGCAAAGCTGTCGAAGTGCGAACGTTCGTCAAACAAACAAAAAAGGCGCTGTGGAAGCCGGAGAACCACAGTGAATGACTAATTCGACGTTGGACGTCTTCTCTACATTTGCAGCTTTGTCGCTTGCAAGTTCGACTTCGCACAAGTGTCAACATGAACGCTTGGTGTTTCGAAGTGGAAATCTCAATCCGGCTCGTCCTGCTGGATCTGGTCCTGTTTGTCTGTTTTCTGTGTTGTTGTATGATTGTACCAATGACTATTACTCTTCTGATTCTCTGACGCTCCCAATCTCAGACCCACTCCTTCTTCCTTTTCCCAATGCTCTCCAGCCAAGGTCTGTCTTTCGGTCCATTTCCCCTCCATAGCCCTCCTCCTCCCCTCGACCCACCCTGTCCTCTTTGAGTGTCTATCCGCCATTCATCAATGCGACGTGCTGTCTTTCATCGCGTTGCCATCAAATGGAAATCCAAGCCAACAAGCCAAAAAAAAAAAAAAAATCCCAATGGAAATCCAGCAAAAAAAAAAAAAAAAAAAAAAAAAAAAAAAGGGACGATCTCATCCTTTTTTTTTTCATTGCCTTCTCACATCAAAGCGACTCGAGCAGAGGGAGGCTGGGGAGGGGGGGGGAGGGAAACCAACATAGCATAGACCACAGGACACGCATGCCAGACATTCCCCACAAGCGTCGCTCACGAGTCCACTTGAGCGGAACGAGGGAAGAGGGCTCTCTCTCTCTGTGTCGTCCCCCTTCCACTCTTCACTTCATCACTCACATCGTCATGCACTTGTCTTCTACAAAACAACAACAACCCCCCCCCCCACCATCAAACAGGTCGCCTCGTCGCAGCCAAGTCGTCGTCCGTGTCGTCGATCGCAGCACGCGCGCTCTCGACCTCGATCGCCTCTGCCTCGTCCTCGACTCCGGTGAAGAGCGCCGGCGTCCCGCTGACCCGCGCTGGCGACGACGCCGTTGCAACCCACACGCTGGCCAAGTGGTCTGGTGGCCCGGTCTCGCGCGCTGGCACCGGCGGCCGCTCGTCCGTCTCGGGCGTTGTCGCCACGGTCTTTGGCTCGACCGGCTTTATTGGCCGCTACTTGGTCAACCGGCTAGGCCGCGTCGGCTCCCAGCTCATCCTGCCATACCGCGGAGACGAGCATGCCTACCGCCACCTCAAGCCGATGGGCGATCTCGGCCAGTTCTCCTTCCCCTTCTACCACCTTCGCGACAAGGACACGGTCAAGCGCCTTGTCGAGCACTCGAACGTCGTGTTCAACCTCGTCGGCCAGGAGTTTGCCACGCGCAACTTTTCGCTGCACGACGTGCACGTGACTGGCGCCGAGACGATCGCCCGCGCTTGCCAGGAGGCCGGTGTCGGTCGCCTCATCCACGTCTCTGCCCTCAACGCCAGCACCGAGTCGCGAAGCCCCTTCCTGCAGTCCAAGGCACTCGGCGAGCAAGCTGTTCTTGCTGCCTTCCCTAACGCCACCATTATTCGCCCTGCGACTCTGTTCGGCCCCGAGGACCGGTGAGGAGGGGATGGATGGTTTTTTTTTTCTTTCTTTCTTTCTTTCTTTTTTTCGTGTTGTTGGGTCCCTTCGTCCTCTGAACACTGCCTGCGGTTTTGCTTGATTTATTTACTTTTTTTTGCTTTGGTGGTGATTGTGCACTTGTAGACTCTTCAATCGCCTGTCTGTTCCGATGCGAACACCTTTCGGCGTCCCGCTGCAAAACTATGGCGAGACCCGCAAGCAACCCATTTATGTCGTGGATGTTGCCCGTGCTCTGATCCGAGCAATGGAGGAGCGCACCACTGCTGGCAAGACTTTCGAGCTTGTTGGGTAGGCATCAGCATTTTTTTTTTATTATGAGTGTTTTGTGTATGCCTTTGCTAACTGAAACGACAATACCACAGCCCCAAGGAGTACACCACCGCCCAGCTTTTGCAATACATGTGCGACATGGCTCGCCGACCGATGCGCGCATTCCACGTTCCCAGCGAAATTGCCGAGTGAGTTGTGGCCTTGCGCCCCGTTTGTTTCGTGGACTCTTTCGGTCGTTTTATTCTATTTCAACTCACTCACGTCCGTGTGCCAACCTCTAGACTTGCTGCGTCCGTTCTCGAGAAGGTGCCTATTTACTCGCCTGTCTGGTCCAAGGATCTTGCCATTCGTGTAGGTTTTCGCTGGCATCTTTTTGCGATTGCGATTCTTGTTTCGAGATTTCTGACCTTTTTTTTTCAAATTTCTGATGCGCCATTCTTCGAGGTGAT